AGTACCTTTAGATTGTGGAATACCTCTCAGCAACAGAAAGAAATAAACTACTGATACATGCAACAACCTGAATAAAGCTCCAGAGAATTACACTCAGTGAAAAATCTAATCCCAAAGGGTTATATATTGCATTATTCAATTTAGATAACATCTTGAAATGACATAATTACTGGAGATCGATGGTTCCCAAGGGTCATGAATTGGGGATGGGAGGTGGGGTAATGGAGGTATGTGAAGAGGTAGGTTGAGGTAAATGCGACTATAAAAGGGAAACATGAGCAATTCTTGTTGTGATAGAACTGTTCTACATCCTGACTGTATCAATGTCAATATCCTGGTTGTGAGAGCTTAGTATGGTTTTGCCAGATGTTACCACTGGAGGCCATGGGGGAAGACGGGGAAGACAGGGAAGATGGGGAAGAAGAAGCTGGCATCTCTTAGTATGATTTCTTGCAACTTCATGTGAATCTACAATAATCTCGAAATAAGTTTACTTGTAAAACAATAAAAATAAAAATAAATCAATCCGGGACTAAAATACAGAGATTAATCCATAAAGAAATTTTATTGAACAATGTTAAGAAATGTTGGCTTCAGACATAAATTATATACGACACACTTATGTTTATATAAATATGCTTCTAAAGTGTATTTCCTTCAATACCTATTTTTCCACTGGGAAACCTCACCTTAGTAGACTCCATGACCCTCTGTGGCCTGCCAACAGAAGTATTTTAGACTCAAAAAAAAAAAAAAGAAAAAAGAAAAGGATTTTGGACTACAAATTGACAACTGCAGATTTTTCAAGATTTTAGGTCACAATATTAACAGAATAGTTTCTCCAAAAATTACATAGCTTCCTATTCCTTTTGTCATTAGGCTTTAAGACTAAAATTGCTTCAAAACACAACACACATACCCACGCCCACACATAAATATCACTACTTTTCCGGGATGCTAGTGCTAACATTTCTATGACCATATTCTCTTTCTTTTTCCTTTAACTCAACACAAAATCTGACCCTAGCCACAGTGGCCCAAAATGACCTGGAAAATTACGTTTATTTTTTCTGGCAATGACAATCTGTGCTTGGAAATATAAAACTGTTATTCTGAATAAATTTCGAAGTTCCAAAGTACTAAAATTACTTTACTGAAACAGGACGAAATGAGCTGTTACTGCTAGGGAAAGGGATTGTTATCCCAGAAAGAACAGTGTGCACTCCAGCCTGCACCACCACTTGTGTTTTGTAAAATAAACAACTCTGGTCTCTTTATTTTACTTTGTGTTCTGTGGTAATAAATATCTCCTGAAGCTAAAAATCCTATTACAAGTGTTCATTTTGTCACCATTTAAAAAAAAAACAAGAGATCAGTTTTACTTTTTGCAAAATAACTAGTTTTTCCACAGTTTGTTGGAGTTGTTTTGACTTCTGCATATGTCCCCTGGTGAAAACAGCAAAAGGAAAGTTGTTCGTTGCTTTTTTTCTAAAAAGAGAACTCCGTGTGTCTATAATATCAGTTGACATTCAGGAGGGGAATAAATATAGAATTATTACTTTGCTGATCTATAAGTACTGTTCAAGTTTTAAATCATGGCAATAAAGTCCTAAACTTAGAACAAGTTCATTCTGCTTCCAGAATGTTGCATGACAATTCTAGCAAAGCTGTTGGATATTGGAGGTCAGAGACAAGTAAGAGTTAGTTCAGTCTAGAGAGAGTAGATTCAGAGATATAGTCTAAGTACACACAGAAGTGAACTGTAGAGTCTAGCAGCAAACAAAGCGGGCAAGTGTGGTCCTGCTCTCCAGTACATAAGCCTGTTTTATATTTTCTGCCACTTAGGGATATGGAAGTCTGAGGCATGTCTGATGCTTGGTCAGAAACTGTGACAAAAAGCAAAAAGATTTAAGTATGAGAGTCAAAAGATTACTTTATTCTTTCTTCTCTAAGATTTCCTAAGAAATGAGACCAGGGGGAAGTAATTTAACATTAGGCTTCTAATCAGGCAATGGATTCTTTCAATATAACTGAATGTCATCAGCATTCTTCTCCCTACTTTCCCCACCACCTTTACTTTTTCTTGCAACTCTATTACTACCTGTTTGGCTATTAATAATAGAGTGTAATACACCTTCACATTCCTTACCATGTATCTTTCATGTGATTTATTGACCATCTATTTCCAGATCATACAGCAAAAGTATAGAAAGAAATAAACAGGAAAGGCTCACCTTCTCTTCTACACTAACTTTCCTTGCCTAGACACAGAAAAGAAAAAAGAAAAAAGAAAAGAAAGAAACACAGCAGAAGCTTTTCTAGAAAGAAGAGCCACATAAGAACTAATATAAAAAGTTAACAGAAGAACAATTAAAAAAAAAAAAAAGCCTTTGAAAGACCACCTACTGACCCACACACCTCAGTTATTTGTTCATCCAATAGAGAAATGAGCACAATTTCAAAGCCATGTGGGAAAAAATGATTTGTTTTCTTCATCTTAATAATGCAATGGTTCTAATCTGAGGTATTCCTATTAGCATTATAAGCTATATACCTATTTAACATGATTCTGTATGAAATGATGTATGCAAGTTGACTAAATAGATATACTGCCTGATCAGTAAGCAATTTAACAAGTTACATAATGGACAATCTAGATGAATCAAACATAGGTAAGAAGTTGTGAAAAAGAAATAACTGACTTATTCTTGGACTGTGCTTTAATAGGCTGTGGCTACGTGTACACATTTTTGTTGCTTTATAATCAAGCCCAAAACAGTGCCTAGCACATAATATGCACTTGATAAATATTTGTGGTATAAATGTATCTAACTTGAGTCTGAAAAAGTGCAGAGCTGCATTTTACATTCTAAACATTCAGCAGGACCAGGGCTACAATCAGCATAATTGTCCAGGGACTTAGGCAGCTGAGTTTCTCCTGATGTCCCTCCTCTGCACTGTATGGACAACTGCCTGCCATTCCTGCCTTGAGAATAGAACTGTAGATTCGTGAAAGGTTTGGTTTTTATCATTTTTAAACGATTTACTTATATAGCACCTTAAACATGAGAAAAAGGCATTTTACAATTCTCATAAAAATCTTGTCAAAATAAATACATACCTAACTTGGCCAGCTTTTTTTCACCAGTAAGTTTCTGTTACGTTGGCCTAGGATGCCCTATTCCCCATCTGTATATAGAAATACTCAGCTTTCAAGGGCCAATCCCAATTCTGTCACCCACATAAAGCTCCTCCATTGACCATCCTCCCCTACCTGTCCATATCAAAGAAGATACTACCTTATATGATATTTAAATCATATACTGTTTTTTACAGTTATTTTTTTAATTTTTTTAATGTTTATTTTTGAGAGACAGACAGACAGACAGACAGACAGACAGACAGAATGTGAGCAGGGGAGGGGTAGAGAGAGAGGGAGACACAGAATCTGAAAGAGGCTCCAGGCTCTGAGCTGTCAGCACAGAGCCCGATGCGGGGCTCAAACTCACAGACCGTGAGATCATGACCTGAGCCGAAGTCGGACGCTCAACCAACTGAGCCACCCAGGCGCCCCTGTTTTTTAGAGTTATTTTTTCGTGTCATTATATATCCTCTTCCTTGGGATCTGCAGTATGGATATTGTTTCTTCCAGACTGTTTTGTTTTGTGTCTTTTAATCTCTACCATACCAGCTTAGTATTTGCAAGGAACTCAGTTGAGGGAGAGAGGAAGGATATTCCATGTCTTCAAACACATATAAGCACCATTTCTCAGATAAGCATAGCATAGTTAAGCTCTCTCTGTGCTTACTATCTCTTACGTCCAATTTAAAAGGTGAAGCAAATTAAATGCAATGGTTTAAAAGGTCTTTTTCTGGGCTTTTCCTTTCCAGTGCCTGCTAGGTTGCATTTTACATAAATCTGAAGGACATGCAGTAACATTAAGCATTAAGTTAAATCAATGGCATGATTAATGCTAACAGGCAGCCCAAAGCAACATGCACAAAGGATAAAAGCATATCTGAGGGATGACTACAATTTTTAATTAAAAAGTAACGGATTGGTGGTTAATTAAGAGTTGACTGTAGATTTACTGAAAACCCTCAATGATTAATGATAGTTAATGTTTGAGGTTTTAATTCACAATCTGTCAATCAGTTTCAAAGAGACGTTTTAAACATTATACTGTTAACAATGTATGCATTGCCAAACTAAATACAGGATAAATGCTTCTGCCTGAGGACAGATATGAACTCACAGGGAGGAGAGCAGGATAGAAACTGAAAAATTTTTAACCGGATTCAATGAGTTGATATACATGAAAGGGTTTAAAACAGTGCCTGGTACATGATAAGTGGGAAGAATTGAGGTGAAATTGAAACAGCCCCTTATATGGAGAGAGACACAAAAATTTAGCATTATCACAAAATGTTACAAACTGTAGCTGCTATAATGTTTTACTACTAATTATTTGCTACTAATTATTTGTTTTTGCAAATAGGGGGATCGTTTAAAATTTTAAACAGACCCATTTATTTCCATTTTTCAAGCAAGTTTTTTTTTTTTTTTTTCTGAAAAGCTGCCAAAAAATATATATATCTAACTATAGTATTTGGACATTCCTGAGGCCCTCTTTTCACAAGAGCTCCACAAACAGCTGGTCAAATACTGTGCTGAAATTATAGATGTCTTCCTTCACAGGTCAAACATTCTTTGCACTGAATTGAATTCTACAATCTGGCCATTATGATTGTTCCCCTTACACTCCATGAATTAATTGCAGATCCCCTGGCCAAAATAAATATAAAACCTCTGAAATCACTCCCCCAGGTTTTGTTACTATCTACCTTTTTTTATATATAAATTTTTTAAATGTTTTTTATTTATTTTTGAGACAGAGACAGAGCATAAGCAGGGGAGGGGCAGAGAGAGGGGGAGATATTACTATCTACCTTAAAATGCTCTCAATGTTATGCTGTAATAACACAATATAATACCATACCTTTTGGATTTCTTCGGGTAACGCGTGCATGGGGATGTGACGATCCATAATTTCTCAAAATATGCAGAGGGAGTTCTGAAGTAAAATAATCTAAAAACATTGATGGCAATGGTCAGAATTGAAATTATGAATAAAATTCAAATTAAAAGCTATAAATTCTTGGAGTAATCAGAGATAAATGGTGATAACTTTTAACAGTTATTTCATCAATTCAGTATTAAAAGGTACAACTGGACCTTTTCAATTAGCTATTACGCCAATAGAACAGGAAAGATAACAGATGACTAAGTCAGAAATATTTTCTTCCTTTAGAACTTTATAGTCTAATTGTAATTTATATGGTGGTTGATTACTAATTATTTGTTTTGCAAATACAGAATAAATGTTAATTTTTTTTTAATTGTTGTTAATGTTCATTTATTTTTGAGAGAGACAGAGTGTGAGTGTAGGAGGGGCAGAGAAAGGAGACACAGAATTCAAAGCAGGCTCCAAGTTGTCAGCCCCAGAGCCTGACGCCGGGTTTGAACTCACCAACCGCGAGATCATGACCTGAGCTGAAGTTGGACACTTAACCGACTGAGCCTCCCAGGCACCCCAAATGTCACTTAAAATTTTAAACAGATTCATTTATTTCTGTTTTCTTTTTTTTTAAGGGTTTTTTCCAAAAAGCTAATAGAAAAATATCTAGGGGCACCTGGGTGGCTCAGTCAGTTAAGCGGCCGACTTGGGCTCAGATCATGATCTCGTGGTCCGTGAGTTCGAGCCCCGCGTCGGGCTCTGTGCTGACCGCTCAGAGCCTGGAGCCTGTTTTGGATTCTGTGTCTCCCTCTCTCTGACCCTCCCCTGTTCGTGCTCTGTCTCTCCCTGTCTCAAAAATAAATAAAACGTTAAAAAAAAAAAAGAAAAGAAAAATATCTAAATATAGTATTTTAGTTCAGCAGATAAGAAAAACAATTGTGACATGAATGCTGGTTTAAAGGATGAAGTACAAAAAATATTTAGAGTTATCAGATTAAATATGATATGCAGACACTGAAAAGTCATGAAACCATGAGACGTGCTAATTTTACTCAAGATGAACACTTATATAATTTTACACAGATATTTTACCTAAATAAATTTTCATTTCTAATATAACAATTCAACATAAAATCCTATTACTACTTTCATAAAACCACACAAGATGAATGGAGGGAGCACTTTTGGTTCTTTTTTTTTTTAAGTTTATTTATTTATTTTGAGGGAGAGAGAGAGACAGTATGAGAACAGGGAAGGGGCAGAGAGAGAGGGAGGGAGAGAAAATCCCAAGTAGGCTTCGCACGGTCAGTGTGGAGCCTGATGCGGGGCTCGAACTCAAGAACCAGGAGATCATGACCTGAGCTGAAATCAAGAGTCAGAAACCAACTGAGCCACCCAGGCACCCCTGGTTTGTTTTGTTTGTTTGTTTGTTTTTTTATCTTTCCCAAATATGGAGAAAGAATACACAGTCCAGTTTCATGAGAGATTGCTTATATATTCATCTAAGGACTTGAGGGGCAGAAAGGAGGCAGCAGAGATGATACAGGCACAATTCCATAGCAATGAAGAAAGTCTGAGGGCTGGGAGTGGTAGACTAGGAACAACCGAGGAGTTCAGCAAAGAAAGATGTCTTATCTTTCTGGTGGGAGTGGCGAATTAGGGAAGGCTTCCTGAAGCTGTTTGCTTTTGATCAGAGCAGGATTTTGACACAAAGATAGACTAAAGAGGCACAGTACTCTATCAGAGACAGCATCCCAGGCACAGCGAGGTGTCAGGGAAATTGTAGTTAACAAAAGTTCCTGGAGCGGCAGTTTTTTTTGTTTTTTGTTTTTTTTTTAAGTCGTGCAACCATTGGTGGAAAGGAAATTCCCCATCCCCTTGTGTTAGCACAAAGCCTGTTGTTTTAATGAGCTGCTGTTTAGAACAAATAACTAATGAGCTGTCTTCCCATATAAACATAATATGTATGTTTGGTAAAGTTAACTAGAGTTAACTATGGGGGTAAAGTTAACTGCCATAGTTAACATAGGCCCACACAGCCAAGTACATAATAATCTGACGTTTGGCAGACTGTGATATGGCAAGAGCTCGTTATTCACAGAAGGCTCATTATTCTCTCTTCTGCCATTTTACAATGGACTTACCATCAGTAAATAAGATGGCATTATCTTAATTAAACTCTACTGGGAGTACAATTTTTCCTAAAATTGCCAACTAAATCTCCTTTTTAAATTCCACCCATAAAATTATTTGAGAGCATGGATCTAGTGACAGCATAAACAAAGGACCAGTGGAACATATTTGTTTAGTACCTTCTTTATCTGTAAAGGTATTCCAACTTTGGGTCCTTATATAGCAAGTAGGAAAATTTGGCAGGTTCTGATTCAAGAAAATACTGCCAACCCAGAAAATCTCTCTACAATGCAGAAAGAAAACAATTTTATTATTGAGTAAGCATTTAACTAGACTGTGATGCACATCAGAGCCAATCTGCTAACGAGACTACAAAGACAGAAAGCTCACTTTTTTTTTTTTTTTATACAGCCATGTAGATACAATCCATTACATATACGTTCTCAAGAGAAAAGGTAACTCGTCCTCAACACAGTGGGCTATACACTTTCATAGTTCGTTTCCAATTCACCTAGTGATTGAAGTAGCTATCTGCACTGGTTAATTGCGATTGTTCTAAGGACTACAAATCCCTGTGATAGAATCCGTGGTTTCTGAAGGAAGGAGTCGAGGGAGAAACTCCCAAAGGTGGTAAGGAAATAGGGACGCCGTCTTCCTTGATGTTTACATTTTAAAGAGATGGTTCCCACGTCCTCAAGAAAAACCTTCCGGGTCTTTAAAAAGATTTGCATACGTATTAAAGGAATAGAGGCATTCACAAATTTACGGAATTTCTCAAGAAAAGGAAAGAAAAAAGTCGTTCACCCACGGCAACACGTAGGTGGAAAAATTTGTAATTTTTTTACTTTACTCTTACATTATTTTGTATGTTTTATCAAACTAGTTTCTTTTATTCTTTCACGTTACATACATGTAGACTGCCCTTCAGCGAGAAGTGCGGTGAAACTGGCAGCAGCCACGTAAGTATTTGTGAACCTGCTCTCTTAACAGGATCGTGAAAAAGATGTCGAAAATACAGAAACGTCCTTGACTGTTCACTTCCGATTCCCTTCCCTCACAGCAGTGTCACGTTGGGCCATTAACTCACGTCCAGCTTTCAGGCCCTTCCGTAAAGAACTATTCCCCTGGCGTGAATCACCCGCAAATGAGCAGATCAGCGTCAGGTGAAACGGAGTTCACGCTCTAAGACATTCCTGAAGAGGCGGGATTTTCCGAATAGAAACCAACTGCAAGGCCAGCCAAAACTGCTTGGAAGGGTTTTGAAACCCGTCCCTTCCTAACCCCGGTCCCTCGGGACCTGCTGCGGCAGGAAGAGGAGGAGGAGGGTGTGGGGGTGAGGCTGAGCGGCGCTCTCAGGGAGAGTAGAGGACTGGCGGGCTGGCGGAAGCCGTGCCGGGGCCGCAGAGAGGGGTGGAGGGGACTCTCGGAAGCCCCAGCCCCTCGCCGCGGCGCCTCGACTCAGCTTTCCTGCCCTCTCCCCCGGTGCCAGCACGCCTCCGCTCCGGAACTGCGTCCCGGGGGGCTGGGTAGGCGGGGGACTCAAGGAAGTCATTCATTGTCTCTCACCTAGACCTCGACTCCGAGTGCGAACGGCTTTCCCGGTCTCCCGGGAGACCGTGCTACACGTCTGCCCGACGTCAGGGCGCGGTGACGTCACGGCCCACGCCCCTCGCCAACTCGAGGGGCCTCCCTTGCCCCGCCCCGGGCCACACGCGCCGGGCGGAAGCGGGAAAGCTGGCGGTGGGGTTGAGAGGAAAAGGCTTGTTTTATGCTGAGCGCTGTGTGAGAGAAGGGAGGGTCGCAAAGGGCAAGGCAGAGGAGGGCGGGCTGGAGTCGCGGTAGAGGCTGCTGGGAAGGAGGGAGATGTCCCTAGCCCCAAGACTAGATTAGAGAGAGAGACACTGCCTGCGGTGGAGGCCCAAGTCCGTGTACCTCTGACCCCAGGCTCTAGAGCCCGTGTGGCGGAGACAGCAGTGGGCAATCATTGTTCTTGAGCGGAAAGAAGAGAAGCCTGTAGAGGTCATGGGTGTAAAGGGAAGCGCTGGGCATTGCAGCGAAGGCAATTGAGAAGGCGTTAAAATTTTCATTCTAGCCCCAAAGTAGTCAAGATGTAAGGGCTTAGTTCAGAAGGTATCTTGAGACCGACTACTCACAAGTTGTTTATTTATAGAAGGCTGGTCACGTTTGCAAGTGACTTACTTTCCTTCCTTCATAAAGCAAGTATTTACTGACATACTACTAAGAGATGAGCACTGCATACCAGAATGGGGTGATGCTCTGTAACTAACCCAGGTAGGGGCAGCTATTGGTATGATTTTCAAGTGACTCATTAATAACCCCAATCTCTCCTGAATACATGAAGTCAAAAATGCAGCTCTGGGGCGACTGGGTGGCTCAGTCGGTTAAGCGCCAACTCTTCATTTGGGCTCAGGTCATGATATCACCGTCATGGGATCAAGCCCCACCTGGGGCTTTGTGCTGAGGGTGGAGCCTCCTTGAGATTCTCTCTCTCTCTCTCTCTCTCTTTCCCTCCCCCCCCCCCGCCTCCCTTTCTCCTTGCCCCTCCCCTGCTTGTGCATGTTCTGTCTCTCTCTCAAAATAAATAAACATTAAAAAAAGAAAAGAAAATGCAGCTCTTATACGAAAAACTATCAATGGCTTACCAGCAGGGAAAGAAACTTGTTACCATTGAATGAAGTACAAAGAAAATTAATTAAAACCTATAGATTTAGAGGTGATCGAATGATGCAGAGCAGTGCTGAAACAGTAGTCAAACTGCTGATGATAGCTGTTTGTTAATGAAAATGACAGGACGAAGTACTGACCACTCCTAAAAGCCTTGTCCTCAAAGCACTGAAAGTCTTGGAGATAGATGTACCCTGTACCTGTACCCTAGCTGATATTTTGCCCGCCTGCCAACGACTTTCAGTTTCCACCCCTCAAAGAGCATTTTTCTTCATCTGAGAAAGATAAGTGATAATTAGAGGATTGAAGAGAGGATTAGGAGAGGGGAGCCAATGAAGTGGTCAGGGACAGCATGCTTATGAGAAGCATAAAGAACTTTCACAACTATTCACATTCAGTATGTTTCTTTGAGGGACAATGAAAATAGGACTGTCCTTAACAATGGGGAGTTTAGACATAGGTCACACGCACAAAAAAGCAGTTCATCTCGATCGACTGAGTGCTTTATCTGGAACAGAAATTGCACATCTAAAGCAAGATGATTCTTAGTCTAGTTTGGCTAGTAGTATGATTATTAGCATTAATATTTATTATTCAGTGTATATAAGGAAAGGAAACACTTCAAGGATAGGAGAAAATACCGCAGAAAGGCTGTTAATTCATTCTGAGTTAATTTCATCTGTCCTTAGTCATCTCTACATTGGCCTTGAGACCAATTTTCCTTCCACCATAAATGTCCACACCATAAATGTCCCTTAGACCTGCACTGCCCAATAAGATAGCCACATGTGACTGTACAATTTAGTTAAAACAAAATAAAAAATTCCATTCCTTTATTGCACTAGCCACAGTTGAAGTTCTCAGTAGTCACATATTGCCACGGCATCACACAGCCCATATATAGAACATTCTCCTCATCAGAGAAAATTCTACTGAACAGTTGCAGGCCCAGTAAGAATTTCAAGGATAAAGAGCATTGATAGATTGCGAGGAATAGCTTCTGTTAAAAAGTAGCAGTGAAAGGTGTTATTCCTGAGGACCACAGCACAGATGAAGAGTTGTGACAGGGTGTTATGAAATAGATTTTTTAAAAAAGTAATCCTATAAACCTTCTCCCTGGGTTCTTGTGTGTTTATTCTTGGCTTTTCATGATCTCAATCTCTCCTTCTCTCCCTCCCTCTCTCTGGGCTCTTTCCTTGTCTTTTTTGTTTTTCCACTACTCTAACTCGCCCCATTATTGGCCATACTGGAACTTATATAGAATTTAAAATGTTCCCATCATTGGCCATATTGAATAAAGTTTTGTGTTATTCAGTTATTAAATTTAATTTTTTTTCCTTTAGAGAAAGAGAAAGCATGGGAGAGGGGCAGAGGGAGAGAGAGAGGAGAGAGAGAGAGAGAGAGAGAGAGAGAGAGAGAGAGAGAATGAAACCCAAGCAGGCTCCATGCTCAGTGAGGAGCCCAACACAGGGCTCAATCCCACCACCCTGGGATCATGACCTGAGCCAAAATCAAGAGTCTGATCATGCTCAACTGACTGAGCCACCCAGGTGCCCCTCGTTATTAAATTTTAAATCAGCTAAGTTTCACTTTTTACTGTGACTTTTAAAAGTAATCTGGTGGTAACCAAATTAAGTTCCTTTTCACCTCCTCTGTGGCCTTTTATTATTCTTTTTCCCCTGTGGGTCAATGACCCCTGAAAGAAAAAGTATAGTCCCTAGTTTTGGGAGAACAACCTCTGCAAAGTGACTAAATGAGGGCTTTCCACAATGTCTGCAGACCTTTGTGTTGTAGTATTAACATTTATGAGAACACAGTGTCTGTGCTTTTGTTTCTGTTATGAATTTACCTAAGATATTGATCCAGCAGGGCGTTGTCACTCATCCCATTCATTTTGGTAAGTAATATTCTTTCCCTTCCCCTTCCCCTTCCCTTCCGCCTCCCCTCATAAGAGGCATGTGGAAAAATGCGTACTTTGTTGGCAAGTCTGATGAAAATATCAGGAAGTCTACCCAAAATTGCTAATTTCAAAGTGAGTTCAGAACTGTACCAAGGGAGCATGGCAAAATTATACGTAGCCCAACTTTATTTTTATCCTGTGAACCAGAACATAGTACCACACTATTCCCTCAAAAGTTTGAATAAAATGGTTGCAGACAGGCCTCCCAGGTTGGAAGCAACCACGGCCTTCGCTGCTATTTCTGAGTTCTATCCCATTCAACTACAGAATTTTTAAAAAGCTAACATTTATTGGGCTCTTTCTGTTTGCCAAACACTGCATACACAATATCTCATTTATTGAGAACGCTTCCAAACATAACTCGGTCAGATCGTACTTATTGTTTACTTTTACCCAAATGATGGAAGTGGCCAAGGGCATGGCCAACAACACATGAGCACTGAAGTGTACTCGGACTGAAAGTATAAGCAGAAGCACCTGGGCCTCATGTATTATGTCAGTTGACTCTGCCAGCCAGTCAGTGACCAAAAGGCATCGGCCTACTGTAGATTAGAAACATATGTAAATACTCAAAAAGCATTGAATTCTGGAAACTTAACTTTGTTTTAGACTTACCATTTTCCAAACTTTTCTGTTACAGCTTCCAGTTTCCAAAAAAGTGGTCAGCTACAAGTGACGATTTGCTTTGTTTTACTCACCCCAACACATTTTATTCTCACCAAGATGTGGATTAGATTTTTTTCATAATACTGTTTTTTTAACTGCTAATCAACATTTAAAGTTGTAGACTCCTTTGTAAAGCTACTTTGTATATTTTGGTTTTTTTTAATGTTTTATTTTTATTTATGTTGAGAAAGAGAGAGAAAGAGGGAGGGAGAGAGCACAAGTGGGGGGAGGGGAAGAGAGAGAGAGAGGGAGAGAATCCCAAGCAGGCCCATGACCTGAGCCATGACAAGAGGCAGAAGCTTAACCAACCAAGCCACCCAGACTCCCCTAGTTTGCATATTTTGAATTCCAAATAACCAATCTAAAGGTGGCTTTGGCCACAAAATACTATTTGTGGGGTTTTGCTCTGTATATTTTTGAATCCATCCCATGTGTAGTATAAACTTTAAGTATGTAATAAAATGAATGTCACACTGTTTAGCATCTCTCTCTAGGAGTTCAAATGTGTTGTGATCTGTGCAATAGTAAGTTCTATACTGAATTCTTTTTAGCCCTAAGAATGTAATTGTTGAGCAAAATTCCCAATGAGACATCAGGCCTTTAAGTGATAAATGTCAACTCTCAAATATTAAAAGTAAGTCAGACACTACAGTGAAACCTTTAATGATTATAAATGTACTCTCTTGTCGTCTGTTCACTACTGATAAGAGTTTTAGCCAAAAATGTACTGTTTGCCAAATATAGTTTAATATTTGTTACATGAATATATTTCTTTTTGAGACATAATTGATATATCACATTATATTAGTTCCAGGTATACAACATAATGAGTCAATATTTATATATATTGTGAAATAATCACTACAGTAAGCCCAGTTAACATTCATCACCACACATAATTACAAATTTTTTTCTTGTGATGATAGCTTTTAGGATCTATCTTCTTAGCAACTTTTCAAATATACGATACAGTCACTATGCTGTACATTACATCTCAAGGATACATTTACTCTCATGAACATATTTAAAAACAAAAAGAATAAAGCTCTCATGACACTGACTTAAAACTCTTGTAATGAATTTGATACTCAAATATATGGCACTGATAGTTCTTTAAACTCTTAGCGTCCAATACACAGCCTATAATAAATGTTAATGAATTCAAAGACTGAAAATTGAGAACTGCCTTCTATATTTGAAAAACAGCTTTTGTAGAATTTGCTTGTTTAATGAAATTATAGCTCATTTCTGAGATTTCCATAGGAGTCTAATGAAGCATCTGAGAGTCTAATTCATATGTGTTTTGATAAGTGATTGGCAGAAGTGATTT